GTTGGGAGTGTTAGCCAAGCGTCTCCCCTCAGTGTTGCAAAATTGTCACGCCCTGAGGCTCAGTCTGCTCAATAATGAAAATTATTCCTCACATCCCCCGGGGGAGGGCAAGTTGGATTTTGCAAGGCTAGACTAGCTGGGGATGGTATTTGGCTAATACTGCCCTATTCCACACGGGGAATTGATCTGTATGGGTGAAGAGAAAGGAATGGCCTCCTTTAGAAGCATTAAACCCTAGCGGCAGGTCCCGATCTTCCCCTGTGTGACAGGTTAAACCCATTGCTTGGTTGTCGTCTTTTTAATTTATTCTATAATTATGTTTTTACTTTTTAAAGTAACTTTTTTCTTTTTTTCTCTCTTCTGGATCCTGGTGGGTTTTAAAAAGGATTTTTTTCTTTGGTTTGAAATATTTTTAATCAGATTGTTTGTTCTTAAAAAGCTGTTAAATTTTAGAGTGGTTTTTAAGGAGAAAAAGTATTTACTGATAGAAAGTTTTCAAAAAGTTCACTTTTCGTGAGGCATGTTTTTGACTTTATTAGAGTTGATTCAGCAGGGATTAGTATGGATGCATACACATCTGACTCTGTTAGCTTGAGCTATCTGTCCACTGAAAGCAGAATTAAAAGTGTGTGTATATGTACATAAAAATGTAAAGTAGTCTTTAAATACTCCATTGTGCAGTGCCTTTAGCTGTTCCATTTTCTATAAAGTCTTCAAAAAAGTTTGCATATATATATATATTATATATATATGATGTAATGTTATAGAAATATATGTATAATATACATATTTTTTCCAGGGGTATCTGATAGCTCTGTATTTTGTTATGGAAGTTGAAAGAAAAAAAAAGTATTTTACCTCAAATTAAAACGTTAAATAAACCTTTTAAATAAGTCAGCATGGTTTTTTTTTTAGTTTGTGCATTGTCAGATTGTCCGTCCATTGTGGTGCCTGTTAGCATGCCTCCCACATGCTAATTAGGGATGTAATAGTGTAGTCAATTAACCGATAAGCCAAATGCTTATAGGTTAATGCTATAGACTACACACATTCCTTCCTGCTCCTGCCCGCAAATTATTTAGCAGGCTGGCCAGCAGCCCGGCTCAGTCCTGGCTCGCGCTGGGTCCAGGACCTACCCCTGCTGCAGCTCTGCATTTAAAGTGTACTAGGAGCCAGGCAGGTAGGCAGCCCGGCTCAGTTCCAGCTTGTGCCTGGTCCAGGAGCGTAGCCCCCACTCTGGACAGGAGCTGCTGCCACCCTGCACTGCTGCCTCTGTATCAGAGGCAGCAGAGGGGGGCGACAGGCAGCTGGGCCGCGAGGGGGGCAGGGTTTTAAACTGACTCCCCTTGTGGACCAGTTCCCGCCTGGCAGCAGTGTGGAGTGGCAGGGGGCTCCTCAGGAGTGAGGCCAGAATGCACTGGCTGCTGGCCCCACCCCTGAGGACTATAGAATAGTCGAGTAACCGATAAGAATTCATGAGGTTATTCTGCTATTGAGTTAACCGATATTTAACATCCCACATGCTAATGCAAGGTGTGGTATGGGGAAGAATTATCCCCATTTTACAGTTGGGGAACCCAATCGAGTAAGTGATTCAACAACGGTGTTGCAAAAAATTCCAGCAGAACTGGAAGCTGAATCCCAATCTTCCAAGTCAATTGCTTGAACCACAAGACGACTCTGCAGTCTGATACCAAACCCTTAGAGCACTTGGGGACCTGCAGAGGAGACAGGATGGTTATCGGCACTTTAGCGGTGGTGAAACAGGCACAAACGGGGAAGTGACGGAGCCAGGAGTAATACCCAGCGTCCGGACTCCCAGGCCTGTGCTTTTACAGGCTACGGAAGTGCAATTTGCATTCAGAATCTCGTGTCTCACGTTTCTCGACCATCAGTGCGTCGTTAGAAGCCATGTCCTTGCTCCCTTGACTATGCCCATCTTGGTTGCTGTAACTGCTCCCTCCCTGGTACATGTGCAGCTTTCCAATCTGGCTGCTCCGCGCTCTGCTTCCTGTGGTTCCTCTTGTTTGCCCTCTATGGCGTCCTGGTCCTCCCAGCTGATGTGAGAACGCTGTATATTTTTCCCAGCTAATTCTTAATATTCCTTTGCGTTGTTTTGCAAGGAGAGGCACCGTGTGTTCTGGCTATTCATATTGATGCTGCTTCTCGTGTCCTCCAGGAGGAGGTGCTGACAAATGAGTTAGCCCTTCTCCATCTCGCTAGAGAACTCAAGTATGTGACTTCAGTGGTGTGTGTTGCTCCCCATCTCTCCTAGCTAGCGAGCAAAGTCTAACCTCAAACCTGAATTTCCAGTGGTTGGCGACGGCCCAAACATTACAGGTGGAGGCTCCTCTCGGAATGTGTGTGTGTGAGGAGGGAGGTAAGTTTTGACACCATTTGTCTGCGGTAGCGCCTCTGACTTCGGGATTGTGCCGTTCAGAGCCAGTGTCCCAAATTCACCTGCCTCTGAGAGGCGAACGAGGTGCCAAAGCAGCTGGCGGCCTCACAGGAATCCGTCTTGATTGCAGTCTTCCCAGTGTGCCGGCATAATTAAGTGCTCTCGTGCCCATCTCTAGCAGCTTTGACCAAGCTGCCACTTAGAGAGGATATTTTTGATTTGCTGTTGTAACCCTGCCCTGTGAATGCCGCTAACCAACATAGAGCTGGGATCGATACAGCTGTTGAAGACCTACCGAAGAACTAGACCTAGTGGAAGTTGTGGGGGTATCCTCCAGATTACACCTGGCCCAAGAGCTACATTGTTGATGTGGTAATAATGTGGTCGGATGGTTTTTTCCCCTCCTTTCTAGAACTGCAGAAGGGACTCTTACCTAGAGACAATTCTGAACGGTTTCATGTGGCTCCCTGAAATTTTGCATGGTGAGGTTTCCTGCCCTGGATCCATTGAGTTACGTGCAATAGGCTGCACCCACCTCCCTGGGAACCTGATGAAGGATGATCCAGAGCAGGGACCCCCTCCGCCCTGCATATAAGGCCAGGTGGTATTCCTAGGGCAGATGTTGGCCATGGGTGCAGAAGGCTGTGACGTGCAGACACGTAGCCGAGCAAGCTTTCCCCAAGAGGGGTGATGCGGCAACGATAACAAAAATTTCTGGTGCAAACAGTTCACCATAGAGCCAGGCTGCAATGCTTAATATCTCCATGAGCACGGACTCGCTTTCTGTTCCATCCCACGCCCGTCATTTGAAGGGTTATTTTCATTTAGCTTGAAGAAGTTCCTAATAGACTTGAAACTCCAATAAAACCAGTCGAAACCTAAACACGTGTCCACAAAGCAAGCCGGCTTTTTGTAGTGCAGGGGCGCCTGGGAACCTCCCCTGTGCACCAGGACCCTATTGTGTTAGGCTCTGTGCACACAAGGAATGGAAAGGGTTAACCCGTTACTGGGATGCTGACTTGGTAACCCGTTAACCAGACTGCCAGTCGCATGGAGCGGGCTGGCAGGAACCTGAGGTGGTCAGGGCAGCAGGTGGGCGGGCAGGCGGGACCCACCCGTGCTGCAGCGGGCCCCCGTTCCAGTCACACTGTGGCCCTGAACCCCGACATGCCTCCTGCCCTCAGCAACAGTAAGGTGCGCACACATGCACCCTGACCTGGCTGCCCTGCCCCCACCGAAAGTTAACCAGTTAAATGATAAAATTGTATCATTTAACGGGTTAATTCTTTTGCTTAATCTTTCCATCCCTAGCACATACGCAAAGAGAAGGATCATCTCGGTCCCTAAGGTTGTGCAACCTGCGTGTCAGACGGCAGCTTGCTACAGAGGGAGCCCAAGGAAACAATGAAACAAGATAGGTAGGTACCATGTGGGGCTCGTCAGCTGCCTAAGGGCTGACAAGCTTGTTGAAATTCACTTTACGCTGGCTTAAAAACCTCGGCTTTAAAGCGTTACTCACAGAAAGAGGCCTTGGGGTGGGGGGAGACGCAGGGCCAGT